TCCTCCTCCTCTTCTTTCTTTTCTTTTTCTCCTCCCCCCCTTCTTCATGTCCTTCTCATTCTTTCCCATCTTATCTCTAGATTTAGGAATCTGTGTTACCTCAAAAACCTAGGAGTCCTCCCTACGCTATCTGCAGTGAAGAATAGTGGTGACAACACCAATTACCCTAGGAACCCCTTCATAACACCAGCACAGTGGGGGCGGTGCTTAACAAAAGATTGGACCAAAGATAAAGATGGTTGAAGAGAGGGTCAGCCAGAGACAGTACTTCTATTAAGGTTAGCAAAAATTCTGTCTGTGAAGGAAGTGGTCATTTATTAGACACCTTCTTAAAAAGATGTAAATTGAAACAAGATCAAAGTGCCTCTCTGCATGTCTGGAGGAAGCACTCAACTAAACCATGATGGTTATAAATTAAAACAAAAAATTGAAAATGGTAATGTATTTTGAAGTTCTGAGGAAAAAAATAATCATGATGTCATGGAAATGGAAGGGTGATCTATGTTACAGGCTGAAAAGGGGGACATTGTACAGTGCAAACTGTCAACATGGCAATGTGCTGTGTCTGACATTACTCAGATTAGGAGCCCAGAAGAATAGGATTCCAGTTGATCCTATTGTGAACCCTTATGAAGTTCATCCCGCACTGGCAGTCAACTGCCTTCTCATTGTATTCGAGTGATTATTTAAGCATAACCAACCTTTTAAAAAAAAAGTTGCTATTTTACATATATACTAGAATTTAAATTCATTCACTCTTCAAGAATCCAAAGACAATCATTTACATGTCTACATTAACAATGTTTTGGCTCCAGGCTCCCTCTACTGTCTCCAAAATAATAAACATTTTATGGCACCCTCTGGACTAGATTCAATTATTTATGAAAGTGAAAACAAACACAATCTTCTGCAAGTAAAGGATATCCTCAATATGATAATCAGGAAGTTCAATATTTGGAGAAAGGTGAAAAATATATACTAATTCATGAAGTATTTGTATAAATAGAGCCATATGAAGTTGCCATCATTTGCCCATTTCTTATCCATATATGACAATTTCATATAGTTTGACCTAATATAAAAAAAAAAAACAATTGTCAAAGAATAGTGTGGTGAGGGATAAGTGTGTATGTGTTGTAGAGGTGGCCATTGCTTTTAATAAATCATCTCTATTATGAAATTTTATTCCTAAATGTACTAGTTAATTTACCTATCTCTTGACCAAAACTAACTACAAACTACACTAAGTTCAGTGCTTTATAGGATTAAACTTGGGTTTAAAAGAAAGAAATCTAGCCAGGTGCTGTGGTGCAAATCTATAACAAGTTAGAGGCCAGCCTCAGCAACTTAGTAAGACCCTATCTCAAAGTACAAAAGTAAAAAAAGAAGTTGGGATGTAGCTCAGTGATAAAGAGCTCCTGGATTCAATCCCCAGTACCAGGAAGGCGGTGGCGGGGGTGGGGGGGGGGTGGGGGGAAGAGGAAGGAAAGAAAGGAGGTATCTGTCTTCAGTTTAATAAGTATGAAGATAAAAAAAAATGCTTCACACAAAAAGATAAATGAAAGAAATGTAGAAAAGCCATATGTTTACAAGAGGCAAGCTGGAAATAAAATACTGTAGTTAACATTTTACTGTGAGAAGAGGAAGTAAGGCAATTTGCATAGACTTCAAACAATCTCACCCTATTGAGAAAACCAGCAAATCCTGAAAAGAATTGGAGGTAAAAGCCAAAGTCAATAGGCTTCAAATATTCTTGGTGTTTCACAGCAACTAACAAGAAAGCATCTTCTGGGTAAGTTCACACTTTGCACACAATCAATTTTGTAGTTGGTACTTTTCCAAAGAATTAATATTTTACAGTTCAGAATTTTAGTTTGTTTGTCTTTGAAGCCCAAAGAATGCCTTTTGAAGTTATTTTTTCATAGTCCTAAGAATTCAAAGAGTGAAAAATGCCATCAAAGATTTATTTACAAAGATGTTCATCAAAACCTTATTGTTATAGTTACTCTTCATCATTTAAGGCTTATGCCAAACCTTGTGCTGAGCAACATGTCTTTTTGATACAATAAATTATAGGACAAAAACTGGAAATTTCCAGTTGGGAACTGGTTGAATAAATTATGGATAAAGTGTGTTTTATATATTATGTAATATTATATGACCATTAAAATGTTTTGAAGACTTAAAAGACATTGGGGAAATGTTCACGAGAGAATGTTAAGCAAAAAGGAATGCTAGTAATGTGTATGCCATCAAATACAAATGTTATTAAGTAAAATATATATGTGCACAAAAAAGTTAAAAGGAAAAATTGAAGTAGTAACTGAAGTTATTACTGGGCGATGGTATTCTGGGTGGTTTTTACTTATTTATTTTTCATGTGCTTTTCTTTATGTTACATATTGTCTAGTATGAGCATGTGTTAGGTTTTTGGGTTTCGGGGGGTAGGTGTGGATTGCAGGTCTGGGGATTGAACCCAGAACCTTGTGCATGCTAGACACTCTACCACTGAGCTGTACACCCCCAGCCCCTGCATTTGTTTTATAATCAGAAAAACATTAAGTGCTATTTAAACATTTTTATATCATGCTCTGCTTATATTCAGATCTATTTAAAAAAATAAAACCATAGAGTTTAATAAAAGCCAGTTGTTTTGGGTGATGTAATATTTGCCTAAGAGCATTTGGCTTTTTCCCTTCATATTATTAGAACAAATCCTCACTAGATAGACACTTTTTGGTAATTTATTCAGTGGTTTGAATGTACAGGTTGGAGCTAAACTATGCTTTACTTTTGAGTATTACACCAATAATTTCTGCACTAAAATTATAGAGATAGGTGAATTATCTCTGAAGTCTTACAAATCAAGATGAAATGTAATGCCTTTTTATCAAAGTGAGGTAAAATAACCATGTGGATTTGAATAAGCACTGGGTCAGGCACTTTACCTAAATACAGCTACCCTGAAATAAGTACTTCTATTCGCATTCACAGTGTAGTAGAAGTAGTAATGCTACCTAAGAGTTATTGATCAGATGTCATGGGACAGTCTCTGTGTCAACAGCTTTACTTTTTTTTTTTTTTTTAATCTCTGCTATGAGTCTACAGCACCAAGTTGTATATGCATCCCTGCTTGGCACTGAAAACCTTGAGGTCCAAGGTGGGACCTAGCCCCAGGTATGTTAGAGTCTGTAAACAAGTCAAAATAACACCTGGCATTTTGTCAGGGGAATATTAGAGTTCCTAAACAAGTCTGGATGGTGCCTGGCAAAATGCCAGAGGGCGTGGTTTGAGAAGTAACAAAAGAGAGTCATTAAGTGTGGAGATTCCTGATTGGTTGACTGCTGTATCTAGTTTATGCTAATTAGATAAGCTGTGTGGAATGTATAAATACTGCTCCTGTCCTGCAATAAAGGGCTTCCACTCCTGCTGTATCAATCTACACAAGTTGTTCGTCACCCCTTGGTTATTTTGCTGCAGCCGGACTGCGGCACAGGTAGATCATTAATCTATTCTTGCCCTTTCTTTCAAGAACAATAAACTTAAAAAACCCTGAACTTGAGCTCTTCTATGCAGAGGGAAGCGAGTCAGAAGAGAAAGTTTAATCAATTTGATGTTTTCTTATACTTCCCAGTTACCTATTTATCAAGACTAAGCAAATTTAGCAAAACTATTGTTTTCAAAGGTGTTGATAGAAATAGATGAATAGTTGATAGAAATAGATAATAGTGGAAATGTCTTCCACTAAACTTCAGACATCAGCCTTTGTAAGGGTATCCCTGTAACAGGAATGTATTTGTCTATGACTTCATTGAGTTCTTAAATTTCATTCTGGCTTTTTATCTTTGCCTCTTTTCTATCATCTATGACTCACACAAGATTTAGAGAGTAAATATGGACAAATAATTAATAGAATTTCAAAATAATTTTATTTATATATATATTCTTGGTCCCTGACTGGTCTAATTGGTTCCATTTTAATAATAATAATAAACAATAATAGCCATAATTAACACATATTTTTATCATATGAAGTTCATGACCATCTACCAGGTACATATCCCCAGAGGGTACCTAAACCCAGAGGTTAAATAGCGATTATACCTCATATTATGTGGCTACTTCATGAAATTCAAAGCCAGATTTGATTCCAACAAAGGGGCTTCCTTCAAAACACGTTGCCTAGCAACAAATAGAGTCTAGTGACTTCCAAATCCCAAGTGCTGAAAACCCAGCAATTCTTTCCTAGAGGACAAGCCTGAGGGACAATTAAAATTTCCTAATAAAAAAGCTTTACCACATTCTTCTATGGCCAAAACAGTTATTGAAGCCCATAAATACCTCCTACTGGCCGAGATGGATAGCTGAGTAGCAGCCTCAGCACCAACCAGACTCATAACATGCCTCAGGCTGGCGGGAGAAGCGAGTCTCTGACCACTTGAATCAGATTTCTGGGAGAACTGGCGCCCAGAGACCGCTCAGGAAACTCATAATTTTGGGGGCGACCACACATTGGGGCACCAAATCCTGCAGGGGACATTTGTCCTCCACATCCAGGGGTACCCATTCCTCCCAACTCAAAACATCTTTTACTCCACCGGTTTAAAACACCCGCGAGGCCATCCCTCCTCTTTTCCTCTACTCCCTAGAATCAGGATCCGGTAAGGACAACCACATTTCAATCCCCCTCATTTCCGTCCTTCTCAAAGTAACCAGGGCGTGTGCTCAAGTGGGACAGAGAGTTTGTGTACCCAAATTCGCCTTGTAGTGGCAGCTCCGAGACAGGGGGCCCCCAGGATAACCCGGGCAGCTCCCCGCCGTCTCCACGGTCCAGGCTTGCTCCGCCCCGCCCCGCCCCACCCCGCCCCTCCAACCGCCCAACCAATCTCGCTCCAGGGCCTTCACGTCACGCCCCCTCCGCCTCGCTCGCCACACCCCCAACTCCTCCGCTACCTACCTCGGCTGCTTGCCCGGCTCCAGCCGGACTCAGTCCTGTCTCCATGGCAGCGTGGCGTCCCAAGCTCACTGCTCCCAACTCTGCCTCCGTAGCCAGCCGGGCCCGGAGTCTGCCCTTGTGATGAACGGTTTGAAAGGTCCACAAGCGGGTGAGAGGCGACGCGGTGATTGCCAGTTGCCCTCGCTTGGTCTCCGAGTGCAGCTGGATCCAGCCTCATCTCGGACGTCCCCATACCCAGCTCCTGAATCCTCAAACTTCTCTGTCTCTCAAGGTTCGGACTCTGGGGCCCCAACGCTGCGGAGGCGCCACCCGAGAAGGTAGGATCCGTGAACCGCTGTAGTCGGGGCCCTGAGAGAGGTTTGTCTACTTGTTTGTGCATGATAATTGGGCGGGTCTGACAGGCGTGTCTACACCACGGTTCTACGACCTGACCTCTCCTCCTCTCCCCAAAGTGAAAATAGCCATGTTCCATCCCAGGGCTTCCTGCTCACTCCTCAGTCTTCTCCCTAGTCTCCAATTCCTTTGCTTATTTTACGGCTTAAATAAGCTTAATGGCTTATAGAAGCGAGCACCCCCTGGCTGTATTAACATCCCTACTTGCTAAATATAACTTGGCTGACCATAAAACTGTCGGTGGAATTTGGACCTAATGGATCTGGTTTTCATCTTCTGGAAAACGAAGGGTTCCGACAATGGCTTACCTCTAAGGTCCAGCCTAGATGACTAGAGACATCCAAAATCAATACGTAGTTTTTGGACTATTCAACTACTCTACTCTGAGTCTCTGTAGCAATTGCAGTAGTAGCACCAAGCATAATTATCAATTTATCGTTTGGCTTCTAAATGAATTGCTGAAGCTGTTTTACCCCAAGAGAGCCCCTGAAAGTACTTTTTAAAAGTAAATCTGAGACTGGGCTCAGTAGTGCTTGCTGGTGTGTAGTCCCAACTACTCAAGGAGGCCAAGGCAAGAAATTTGCTTGAGCCAAGGTTCAAGAACCATTTGGGCAACAGGGAGGCATGCCATCATGAATGAATGAATGAATGAATGAATGAATGAATGAATGAATGTGTCTGAAAATGTCTTTTGATTTGTTTCCTCCTAAAAATCAAATACAATGATCCCAAAATCCAGTTAAATAAATAAATGAATCTGAAAGTGTCTTTTGATTTCTTTCATTCTCCTAAAAATCAAATACAATGATCCCAAAATCCAGTTCATTATTTTTTTTTCCTAATTGAAGTGGTTTGGGATTTTTTTTTTAATCTCCAGAGAACAACAGCAGCACTGCTTTTTAATTGTTAAGAGTTTACCAGAACTGAGTTCCAACACCTTTGTAGGGGCTCCATTGCAATCATTCCAGAACTTCAAAGCTTTCTACCCAAACCCTCTAATTAAGCTACATCTCAGTGTTTCTCTCCATTCTTTGCCCTGTCGAGTGGCATTTGTGCCACTTAGAACTTAGGACTGGCTTCTTTTACCCAGTATACCTTCAGGACTCTCCTTGCTGGGCTTTGGGTAATAACAACAGTAACAGAAGGAGTTGTAGTAATTGTAATTCTACTAGGAGATAAGTGCTGCTATTATTTGTTATTAACCATTCTGTTATTTTGAACAATTACTCTATGAGGTAGGGGAGATTTTTATCCTCAATTTATAGCTGAGGAACTAAATCAGAAAACAATTAAGAAAATGACTCAACATTATCCAATCTGCTAAGATTTGAACATAGTTCGTCTGACTTTAAATTCTGGGCTCTGACATTACGTTGTTCTATAAAGGAGGAAATGTACAAAATTTATATCTAGACACTTTTAAATGATTTTAAGTGATAGATGATCTTTCAAAACATTTTATACACAGTTGAGGCTATGCAATAAAATATTGTGCCTTCATTATGTTGTTTCTCCATTAAGTTCCTTCAGGATGAAGGATGATGATTAATGAGCTCATTCTCTTTTACCACAGTGCAGGGCCTGAACATGTAGCTGTCTATCTATGCATTCATTCTTTGCCTATTAGAAGACAAGGTAGTTTATAAAAACAAAAAGTACAAAAGGATAGAATATTTTCATATTGAATCACATTGAACAGCAGAGCTCCAGTTCAATTCTTTGCTTTGCTTTCTCCTTTCCTTCTGATAGACAATACATGCAAAGTCCCTATACTCATGAAATTCAGTCTAGTAAGGAAGGCAAGCAAAGAATGAATGAATACATGCATGCATATATGAAATTATGATAATCCCATGTTTGGCTTCATAAGAGACCTCCATTTTTCTTAAAGTTGCTGAGAGCCACAGCTGAGTCGGAATGGCCCCTGGCATTTTGCCAATAGTATTGGTTGACAGGCGAGGCATTACTATCTGCCTTGGCCGCTACTACTTTGGAGTTCTCACGCTACTTTGAAGTTCTCGTGGGGATTCATGGGGATTCCAGGAGAGTTCCCATTGGTTGGGGAAGTGCAGGAGGAAGGATTTCCGGAGGAGATATTTCCGGTGGCGGGTTCCTGGAGGAGCCACGTGGTTTTGGGGAGAGTTCCCGGGGAGCGTGTGTGGAGTGTGCTGGTGGAGTTCAGAAATAAAGTTTGTTCCTGCTTCAGTGGCTAGTGATTTGTGCCCAGCCAGACTGCGGCATTTGGCGGCCCGTGTGGGGAACGCCTGAAGCTCCGGGGTAAGTGAAATTGCTCACCCCTAAGGGAAGGTGAGAGAATGGGTGACCATTTCAAAAAACAATGTGTTCTTGTTTTGATTTGTTTTGTTTTTGTTTCAAGCTGCCTATCCCTAGAACTTTCTCAAGCAAACTGGGAAAAATGGTTAGCTCAAGGTTTGAAGTTGTTCACTCCTGAGGAAGAGATAGAAATAGACCACAAATGCACATGTCAAGAAAATAGGAAAATTGATACAACGATTTTTTGTTCCGTTTTTGTTTCATTCTGTTTCGGTTTTGTTTTGTGTTATCTTATTGGGTTGCGTTATCTTTATAGTAGATTAGAAATTAGTAAAAAACAAACCGAAAGAGTGTTAAGTAAATTCTTAGAGGTTCAGACCATGGAGGAAGACATTTTAGATCAAGTAAAAGAGAAGGTCTCTCAAGCTAGTCAGATAGAGGAAGAAAATTTAAAGGAAGAAAGCTTAGAGGAGAAACAGCTATTAGGAAAAAAGCTAAAACAGGAGGCTGCTACTAACACTGTTCTATCACCAGAGGGCGTAATTCAATCAGCACCTCCACCTATGGAGACAGCTGAGTGGCCCTCAACCCCCGTAGCTGATAGATGGGATCCTGAGACAGGACCTCAAAGATTAGCATGCCCTGTACTTGAACAGGCAGGAGGGCAGTGAATTCACCGTGCTTTAGATTTCAAAACAGTGAAGCAGTTAAAGGAGGCTGTAACAACCTATGGTCCTCAAGCACCCTTCACTGTAAGCATGGTCGAATCCATTACCAACTTGGACATGACACCAGCAGATTGAGCTAGCATGTGTAAATCTGTGCTAAATGGAGGACAATATTTGTTATGGAAGGTTGCCAATGAGGAATTTTGCATGGAGATGGCTAGGCGAAATGCAGCAGCCGGTTACCCTCAAAGAAATCTAAATATGTTGTTAGGAAAAGGACCTTATGAGGGTCAACGGCAACAAATTGAATATGATCCTGCTATATATGCACAAATTGCTGCAGATGCAGTTAGGGCATGGAAGACTTTACAAGGACATGGAGATTTACAAGGTCAATTATCTAAGGTAATACAGGGAGCTAATGAACCTTACGCTGAATTTGTAGATAGGCTTATTCAAACAGCTACCAGAGTTTTTGGGGATACAGAACAAGCAATGCCATTAATTAAACAAATGGCTTATGACCAAGCAAATCGTTGGTGCAGAGAGGTCATTAGACCATGGAAACATGGAGATTTAAACACATATATTAAATTATGTAGAGACATTAATGAACAAGGGCAAGTCTTGGCAGCTGCAGTACAACAGGCTTTAGATGCCAGGCCAAAAACATGCTACAATTGTGAACAAACAGGACATTTTAAAAGGAGTTGCCCCATAGGAGGAGGGTTTAACAAAGCTAGGTATCAAAGGAGTAGAATACTGGGTATTTGCCCATGATGCCGTAGAGGGAGACATTGGGCAAATGAATGCTGTTCTCAAACCACCATAGAGGGTACTCCATTATCAAAAAACGGACAAGAACCAGGTGTTTACCCATGATATCGTGGAGAAAGGCATCGGGCTCCATTGCCAAAAAACGGATGGGGGGCCCAGTGCTTCGGGGCCCATGACCACAAATATACGGGGCACTGGAGGAACCCAGAAACACCATGGAGGAACCCAGCAGCACCATCAGGGTAGTGCCCAGGACACATTATCCATCAGATCTCTCATCAGACGAACCAGAGGGAGCGCAGGGTTGGACATCTGCGCCTCCGCCAGAGCAGTACTAACTCCAGAGATGGGAGTTCAAATCATTCCCACAGGAGTAAAAGGACCTCTTCCCCAGGGAACAGTAGGCTTATTGTTAGGACACAGTTCTTCTACTCTAAAAGGACCTATGATAAGTCCTGGGGTAATTGATCCCGATTATGAAGGTGAAATAAAAATTATAGCTAGTTCACAAAGGGTATATCAGTAATCTCACCAGGAGATAGAATAGCACAGTTATTAATAATACCCAGCCTACATGATAAATTTTCCAGTAGTACTATAGAAAGAGGTTCCAGGGGATTAGGCTCCACAGGTGTAGATTGGGCTATGCTGTCTTTAAATTTAGATTCTCGCCCAATGCTAAAACTAAATATTCAAGGACATGAATTTAATGGGCTACTGGATACAGGTGCAGACCTTAGCATCATCTCTCATCAAGAAAGGCCAAAACATTGGCCGTTACAACAAGCCACTCAAATGCTTCGAGGCCTAGGAGTGGCAACTAATCCCCATAGAAGTGCAATGGTATTAGATTGGAAGGATCCTGAAGGATGTGAAGGAACTATACAGCCCTATGTATTGGATCATCTTCCTATAAATTTATGGGGACGAGATGTCCTAGATCAATTAGGTTTGACATTAACAAATAACATCAATCCAAATGCGCCCACTATTAGGGCTAGACAAGGTTTCAGGAAAGAAAAAAGATTAGGAGAATAAGAACAAGGTATAGCAGCACCAATTCAAATAGATCAAGGAATAAATAGACATGGATTAGGTTTTCAGAAGGGGTCACTGAGGCAATCAAAATTACTTGGAAATCAGAAAGACCAGTATGGGTTCCTCAGTGGCCCCTGACTAAAGAAAAGATACAAGCAGCCCATGACCTGGTCAAACAACAATTAGCGGAGGGGCATATACAACCTTCCATATCTCCCTATAATACTCCCATTTTTGTCATTAAAAAGAAATCTGGTAAATGGAGATTATTGCAAGATTTAAGAGCCATTAATAATGAGATGGTTGTTATGGGACCTGCTCAATCAGGGATTATTCAATTGTCTGCTTTGCCAAAAACCTGGTACATTTTAGCTATAGATATTAAAGATTGTTTTTTTTTTCAATTCCAATTCATCCTGAGGATAGTCCACATTTTGCATTTACTATCCCTGCACTGAATCATGAAGATCCTGATCAGAGATATGAATGGAAAGTACTCCCTTAAGGGATGGCTAACAGCCAAACTATGTGTCAAATTTATGTTAACAAAGCAATCCAGCTCCTATGAAGCCAAATATGGGATTGTCATAATTTCATTCATTCATGCCTGTATTCATTCATTCCCTGTTTTCCTTACTAGACTGGGTTCCATGAGCATAGAGACTTTGTATTGCTCATCTCCAGTGCTTGGTACCTTCAATGTCACATAAGTTGCTGCTCTATAACTTGAGCATAGTTTCTGTGACTTCCAACCTAGAGTCCAGACAATTAAATACAATTAACTAAAGAGTCAAGAAACAAGCATTTTTTCTTAGAAATAAGCCCATGCTGACTCCCACACAGCTATTTCCTAATCCCCAAAGTACAATTTTTAATATAATGTACATTACTTATATAATGCCCAGAATATTTTAAAACCTAATCACATAATTATGAATTTATAAATTATCTTGCTGTGTGTACTTTATATACTTATTGAATCAGATATATTTATCTCCTGGTTAATACTACCTATCTTTCTACATGTCTTTTTTTTAATATTTATTTTTTAGTTGTAGATGGACACAATATCTTCATTTATTTTTATGTGGTGCTGAGGATCGAACCCAGGGCCTCACACATGCGAAGCAAGTGCTCTACTGCTGAGCCATAACCCGCCCCTCTACATATGTCTTTTAATATTTTTTATTCTTTATAAAAATAACTATCTCTGCTTTTCCCCAACTCTTTTCTCAGAACCATCCCTCCCAATTCTGTGGGCCTTTCTTTTTTAATTGTAAAACACTCTAAGGCAATCTGGCTACTTTATGTCATTTAATAGCTTTATTCACTCAGTAATATCTGAGTGCCTTTAAAGTCATGTAGGATCCATACTCCTGAGTGAAAACCAATTTCTTCTCTTAAGAAACTTCTATCATGGTTGTGGTCATACTAACACTCTAGTCATAATCTGTCTACACATTTATTATGTGCTTTTCCTCTACCTGCTTCTTAGGTGTCACTTCTCAGGACTCTATCTTTGGCCTTATATTATTCCATATAAATGATGACAACCAGTCTCCCTTCATTTCTATATCCCCAGAGCTTAGTTCAGACATATTTCATACATAAGAGGTGCTCATCAAAATTTGTTTCTTTGTGTTAAGCATGCACTCTACCACTGAGCTACACCCCCAGCCCAAATGTTTGTTTGAATAGACTTTGAATATTGCATGAAAATTAGAAACTATCACTATTTTTGTTTCCCCACCATCACAGGGACTGTTTAAAGGCATCAGGTGAGTCAACCCTATTCCAAAAGCTAGAGAGTGTACTTAGTAGAGATTCAAAGGGATAATTAAATGAGTGCCATGAAGTTAATGTTAACCATATCAATCAATAGTCATGAATATAGAGTGCACATCTTCAGACTGCTCTTTCTGGATACCATGACTCTGATGTGAACAAGTCCAACTTGATGGAGAGGAGATTTAAGGTAGCACAAGGCCAACATACTGCTCAAATGCCTGGAGGAGAAGAATAAACATAGAGATGAAAATAATATTGCAAATTTTAAATTTTACCTGTATTTTGTGGCACACACCTGTAATTCCACAACTCTGGAGGCTGAGGCAGGAGGATCAAAAGTTTGAGGGCAGCCTCAGCAACATAGCAAGACCCTGACTCAAAATAAAAAAATAAAAAGTACTAAGTATGTAGCTCAGTGTCTCTATCAATCCCCAGTACAAAAAACAACAACAACAAAAAATGTGTTCTAAGTTACTGCATTTTCCCTGAAGTCAGTGAACTTTGTAAATAAGCATCAGTATTTGAGGGTTTATGTCATAAAAGCCCTCAGAGATAGTCCATCTAAGTCCCAGTGAGCTCTTATCAGCCTTAGAGGACATCTTGTCAGCTGTCCCTTTAGAAGAAACATCAATTCGTTTCTATAGCATCCTTCCTAAGTGCCAGCTCTGTGCTAAACTCTTTATCCAGATTACTCCAGTATATCTTTAAAGGAAAAAAAAAAAAATATATATATATAAATAAACACAATACCTTTATTTATTTTTATGTGGTGCTGAGGATCAAATCCAATGCTTCACACATGCTAGGCAAATGCTCTACCGCTGAGCCACAACCCCAGCCCCTCTTCCTTCCATCTTGACAATAATTTAGTGAATTTATTTCCTTTGTGGTCCCCATTTCTCAGATGGAAGAACTGAAGCTTAAAGAGATTAACTAATTTTCCCAGACTCACTTGGACCATGTGAAAACAGTTTCTCTCACCAAGAGACAGAACCCTTGAGTGTTATACCATATTGCCTACCAGGGAATTCAGTATTAGGAAGAGAAGTTAAGGGGAGACTTCCCAAGTAATGATAAAGCTGGACTGTCTCCATCAAGGGCTGGGATCTCCCATCTAGGTTTTTCTTTTCCCGGGTGCAAATTGGGTGGAGCATTGCAATCCACAAGGATCCCTGAGTTAGAAAGGAGAGGAGGGTTCTAAATATAAAGGTGATGTTCCCTCTGTCCTTCAGGTACCACAGGACTATGGAAATTTGTGGAATGAAAGTCCCTCTCAGGAGAGCTCATCTTAAATTTCCTTTATTAAGTCTCGCCCACGTCCCACGCAGGCAGGCGATGGAAATGGGGTTCCTCTGGGTAGAATGGGCTGGCTGAGAAATAAAAGGTAGGAAAAATAGAACAACGAAAAAACTACAGAACACAGAAAATATTTTCAAAAAGCAGGGGTGGAGTGGGCTAGCCAATCATGTAGATCGAGTGTCTATACTAATGGCAAAATGAAGCCTGCGCCTGCTTCATTATATTGGGGGATATCAAAGGCCTTTCATAGAATGTTCTCCAAAAAAAGTTACAGGTGGGCTGTCCAGTTCCCAACGTGTTACTCCCATCTCCCCAGCGACCATGAGAGATCGTTATAGCAGAGGGAAGATAAAGGTCGTGCCAAGGATATAGTTCCCCAAGGTTCAACCTAAAATCTCCCTGGCTACATGCCAAGACAAGATCCTCATGTGTTTTCCACGGATGGCTCCCCACAATTAAGGCCTATTTAATTCATTCTTTCATTTATCTTAGAATTTGGTTTTCTACAACTGGTTTCCCCCAAAAGATGCCTCACTTTTCTGATAGACTTTGACTCTCTGTGAGCTTCTCAGGAGGAGAATCAAGTTAATAACAAACTGTCAGGGTTCCCCTAAAAGCAAAGCCTGAGACAAAAGTATATGCACTACTGCTTTATTCAGGAGCATAAGTCCATGTGAAGGAGACAGATTTTTAAAAACAGAAATACAAAATAATGAAGTCTGGCTCTTATTGTTCACAGTCTTGGCCCTGAATTTTGTATGCCAGAAATCCTTAGGTATGTAATTATAAAAATTTGAAACATCTAGCTTGGAGTGTGGGGCCAAGTGTTAAGAGGAAGCAACAAGTGAGTTGTTACTTATGGAAAATTTAAATGTGACCTCTTCCATGTTTAAAAAACAAAACCCTTAAGGCCTTTTCTCTACAATTAGAATGGTATTTATCCAGATATTGCAGGAAATCGTGTCTTATTCTTGGGTAGCTTAGAAAGGCAAAAATCATAGAGAAAACATTTTAACTTTCAAGCATTAATTAATGCACAAGGGAATTTTATGAGTAAAAAACATACTTAAAATGTATCTTCAGGTAAAATCAAACATCAATTTATAGGTATTTGTTTAAATAATACTTTATTAAAATACCATGTCTTGAAATTTCATATTGCTCTAAACTCACACTCTAGAAAGTATTGTTTTATGGCACCAATAAATTGGAATGTAGCTGAGAGTTTGATTTATATATCATGTTTTATTTTGTTGAAGTAGGGGAGAGAAGTGGTGTTGTAAACATGAGCTAAGATGAATTTATGATTTCTATGGTCAGCTCACCGGGAGAGGAGAGTCCTCAGCCAGCTGCTGATCACATTTGAATCTAGATCTAGAGTCCAAGTTAGGTGAAATCAAACATGTAAAAGAATTAGAGGGTTAGTTAATACCAGGCTGTTCTTCCATGGAAAATCTTTTCTCTTTTGGTACCAGGGATTGAACCCAGGGGTGTTTAACCACTGAGCTACATCCCTGGCCCTTTTTAAATTTTTTTATTTGGTCTCCCTGAGTTGCTTAGGGCCTTGCTAAGTTGCTGAGGCTGGCTTTTGAACTCCAGATCCTCCTGCCTTAACCTCCTGAGCTGCTGGGATTACAGGCATGGGCCATCACCCCTGGCAGCAAAATCATTCCTATAGCTCTTTTTACATGAGAAAGGGAAGGAGTAATTTCTCTAGATTTTTCAAACTCCATATTGTAGTCCAGAAGAAAGAGGTTTTGTTAGGATGTAATTAATGCTAATAAATATAAAAACAAATAAATACTTAATAACCTACTGACAGACTGAGTTCTGTGTTGTTTTATTTCTATTTTAAATTTATACAAGAGTTTAGAAACTTATGAAGTAAATATTTTATTTTGTTCAGGAATTACCTAGACAAGACAGATGCTACAAAGGTAAGAATATAAAAACTTTTTAAAGAATGCTTTGGGTCTATTTTACCATCACTTTATATAGTTTTTAAATAACTGATTTTAGCATAAAAATCACACTTTAGCATACATAATAGAAATATTTATACAAATGCTCTTAAACTATTTCAAATACCTCAAATTAAAATAATAATGATAATGCTAGTTTTTACTCCTGCTTCTATTTTAGGAACCAAAAAACAGACAGAATGGCAGATTGCTACTGTTTGATCCAAAGGGTAAATTATTTATTACTTCAAATGTGTTTGATCATGATTCTATCCTAAATATTAATTAATAATAAGAATATTGGAATGAGTTAATGTGATTTTATGATTTGGTAATCAAATATTTTGTTATATGTCATCCAAAAATATCTTAAATTTTATTTCCCAATGTGACACTTACATTTACGGACATCACTGCTAGAAAAAAATACTAAGTTTTTTTCTTCTCTTTCAGAAAACGTGATGCTTGAACCAAAGGAAGCAATGTCAGAGTAAGAAGATGTCTTTGGTTGTGCAGCTGATCTGTCACATGCCTTTTAAGCAATTAGAACTAGATAATGCAACCATTTGTCACCTAATTAAATTTGAAAAGCCAGAAATGCATGGATTAGCACTTTAGTTTTTGCTTCAGTCAAAGTAATTGTCACTTAAATAGAAGGATGCGTAAAATTAAAAATGAATTTTGATAAAAATGTAGAGGCATGGATAATAATCACTTCTATTTTTTAATGCTTAAACATCATGTATTCTGTATTTTACTTGTATAATTTCCATTGCTCATTCCAATTTCCCTTTGCTATTTGCTCATTTCTTTCAGGATATATCTGTAAGTAAATATTTAAACAGATTATTTTTTATAACATGAATCATCATTACTAAAGGAAAAATCAACTCAACTAGCTGGTGAAATTAGTATTAAAAATCATAGTACAATATCAATTTAATAGCTAGATATTAAGTACCAGCTCTAGCCAAAGCACTGATTCTAAAAATTTTTTAATGTCCTTCTTGATTGTGTTCATTTCCTAACTTTTGAAAAATATCTATTATTTATTCTATGAAAAATTATAGTTTGAAAGTTGGTCATAAAACACATGCATAGAGATTATTGACAAGTTGGTAGGTATATTCTGACGGGACTGGTATACCCAGATTCATATTATTGAGGCTGGGATGTAGCTCTTGAGGAATAATAGAGATGTAGCTAGGATTTTTGAGAACCTGGATTCAACCCCCAGCACTGAAAAAAAACCTGACATTATTTTGGTTTATTCTGAATATTATCGCCTGAAGAAAACTTCACTTTTTACATCATATATTTTATTTTTTTACTTTTGGAGCTAAAAATGTTCACCTTTGCTTATATTGCAAATTTTATATGTTATATACTTTTAATGCATATTTTATATCAAAGAGAAAGAAATACATAGCAAATCAATACAGAGGATTTATATTCAATGTCAAGTTACAACCAACTGGAGGGGAAAAAAAGCCTTGTTAAAAGACTATTACTCGGGCTGGGGTTGTGGCTCAGCGGTAGAGCACATGAGAGGCCCTGGATTCAATTCTCAGCACCATGTAAAAGTGACTAAATAAAAACAAAGGTGTACAAGTAAAAGAAATAAATATTTTTTTAAAAAAAGACTATTACTCTACACATATAACTAATAATATGTCATATTACATAGTTGAAAACATTTAGATTTTAAAATTTAAGAAACATTTAGTTACTTTTGAGGGAAATATAAGATATAATTTTTAATAATGATAATAGAAGTTAATAGATCTTTGGTGAAAATTAATTATTATTGTGTCCATAAACCCCAAAATTCATAAATGTGAACTGGAGCAGGGGTAATCCACATCCCAAGGTAGATGAAGCACAGGGATAAATCAATGCAGCATTTGTCAATATAGAAAAGCAGAGTGACCACTTGTTCTCTTGATCTCAATAATAATTGCATTTAACTATCAAACTCCTTTTTGCAAGGACAAAATGATCAATCACTAGGGAAAGGGTGGTTAATGTAGTCAGTAAATTTTACAAATGTGTGGCCTTGCCACCTCTGTTACTTCACCCCAAAGTTAAAGGTGAACAGGGCTAGTCTTTGAAAAAAATAATCAAGTAATAAAATACTAAATTGTGGGGTGAACTTTGCTTTAAGAAGAATGTGACTGATCAGCAATGTTGATGAATTTTCTCAGTGTAGCTTCTATTCCACTTTCTATCCCACATGGCTCCATTGTCTAACTAGGCAAGTAGTATTTGCCAAAAGGTCCCATCTAGGTTGAATTAGGAAAAACTACAAGTGTTCTCTCTTCACCAGATCTTTGCCCTAATCTGATTAGGACTCCAGTCCCAGCCACAGGGGAAATGACAAGCAAATCCATAACACCCAACTCTTTGACTATAGTGGAAAGAAATTTTATCAATAGGGTTTTTTTTGTTTTTATTTAATTATATTTTATCGTATTCTCTGAAATGAAAGACTATTTTTTATTTTAACTATTTTTTTAATCCCCATTTTTCCACTTTAAGTAAATGCCTTTATGGACACAGACCAAGATTGGCAAGCAAACATTTCACTTCACAAATACAAGTCTCTCAAAGTGTAGCTAAGACCTTCTCAGAAAAGTAAATTTTAGTTAATTTTTGGGTTTTGGCACATGTTTGAGCAATGTAAGTCTTTTTTTATTTTGTTTTTGCTTTTTCAGCAAGCTTTTCTTTATTCAGTATTAAGCGGCAGAGTCAATCAGTCTTATCTCTGGTATGGCTCATTTTTAGGACAGAAAATGGCAATATAAATCATTTTAAGACCAAGTTTAACATATAAATCTACTGAAAAGAGTATTAATTCCAATAGAAATTTGGGAACATTTTCTAAATGTACCCAAGTGTTCTTTACATACTAAGAAAAAAAATCTAAAACCTAGGATATCTACCTTCCAACATATATGTTCCCATGGGACATCTAACATAATGTACTCTGTATATAGATTTAATAATTACTAAACACCTCCCATTTCCAAAGGATATTATTACAGAGAGTAAAAATTTGAATCTTTTTTTGATTGTGACTATTTAAGTTAATAAAAACTGATCTTTTGGGTCTGGGGTTGTGGATTAGAGGTAGAGTGCTTGCCTAGTGTGCATGAAACACTTGGTTCAATCCTCCAGCACCACACAATAAAAAAATAAAGATATTATGTACACCCATAACTAAAAAATAAATTTAAAAAAAGAAAAAAAACCCCTGATCTTTTGGAGTATACTAGTTATCTATTTTTCTTAAATGTTTAGGGGCTTTAGTACCATAAATGTCATACTTTCTCACAGGGAAGTCAATAGATTTTTGTTGCAGAGGAGGCTGAACTTCCAGCTTCTCATTCTTTGAAATTATATGAGAAAGAATACATGAACTGAACAGAAAAGAGTTTTATACTTTACTGTTAAAGTCATGATTTGGCCAGGCACAGTGATGCACACCTGTAAGGGAGGCTGAGACAGTGGACTGCAAGTTCAAAGCCAGCCTCAGAAAAAGTGAGGCTAAGCAACTCAGTGAGATCCTGTCTATAAATACAAAATAGGGCTGGGATGTGGCTCAGTGGTTGAGTGTCCCTGAGTTCAATCCCTGGTTTCAAATAAATAAATAAATAAAATCATGAATTGGTCGGTTCTCATGTAGGTGTTTTTTGTTTGTTTGTCAGACTCACTGCTTCTGAATACAATATACCATTTATCTTCAGGCTATTGAGTGTGTTAGTCACCTCTATGTGTGTTTCATTAGAGTTATTAAAGACATTGCCAATTATTCAAATACCCAGAACTATATTATTAAATTCCCTTACTTATGGATATAACTTAGTGAATATAGAAGTACCATAGATGTAAACATTCTTAGATCTTTTTTTTTTCATATTTTAACATCTCTTAAAATTGATGTCATCTTATACTTATGTTTGGCAGTATTTTTCCTTTCTTGGTGGTACATAAAGCAATGATATGTTGATAATAAATAAATGATATCTTAGATATCATGACTAAAATAGTATAATTCAGTGAAGAAAAAAATATCAAAGCCTTTTTATCTGCATTAGACATTAGAGCCTACAAATTCTAGTAATCACTTTTGGCATAACAGGAATCTCATATTCTGGAAATGGAACGTTTCAGTGAGTTTCCAACTTTTTATATGTAGAGTTTTCTCCTGGATGCATTTGTAGACAATTAGAAAATCAAGGGGGCAGAGGCAAAACAAATGTAAATTATCTTTGCTGTGTATTTTCATTTCCAGCAAAGGGTTTTGATTTAGGTCCAGTATACTGAGGAAGTGAAGTTTCATTCCCTCCCATAATAAGGACTATAACAAACTGGTCAACCTATTTGCTAAATCAGAGCCCAAGACCATGAACTCAGCCACTAATGTTCTGGATTCATATTTCAACACAGAAAAAACAGAGCCACAATATTTTGGGGAAAATAATATTTTACATCTTCTTATATCTTTATACAAACTAGAAATTGAGTTTGTTAAAACTTTTAAAAAATATTTAGTTTTTGTAGTTGGACACAATACCTTTATTTTATTTATTTTATGTGGTGCTAAGGGTCGAACCCAGAGCCTTGCACGTGCTAGGTGAGCGCCCTACCACTGAGCCACAACCCCAGCCCTTGTTAAAGCTTTTCAAATGACACAAAGACCTCAAAAAAGAAATGGAGGATGGGTAGTTTTTCACAAGCATGGGTGCTATCTTTGTAAACAGAGTACACCACATAAGAATCCCTTATCTCAGTGCATATTTATTGACATGGGTTTTGGGCTTAAAAAAGAGAGAGAGAGAAAGTTAATCTCTTTTCAATTCAGCTCCCTGATGAAAAAAACAATTTTACATTATGATCAAGGGTTAATATTAGTGTTGGACTTCCTCCATAGTATAGCATATAGCAATGGCCTGAATCTATTTATAAACATTTTTTTAAAAAAACTCAAGGTTAATTTTCTTAGTTTTATACTATCATGTCACAATGGTGTACCAATGACATTTATATAACTAATTCCTATGTACTTTAACTCTGGAGGATCCTAGGAATTGTTACATAGTAACAAATGCCAGGCAGAAATAGAACTTTTCTACAAAGAAGATATTACCTTTGAGCTATTTAAGGCTATTGCTGGTATGTATGTATGTGTGTGTATATATATATATATATATATATATATATATATTATGCTTATATTAAATGTATGTTTATGAACCCATATAAAGTATTATACAGAATTCTGACTAGGAAATTTTTTTTTTTACTATCTACTTTAACATGTAGGAAGAAAGTCTCTTCAAAAAAGATTGAAAATAAAGTCTCTTTAAAGAATACTGAAAAAAGAGTATCTTCAAAAAATATTAAAAATAAAGATTTCTTAACAAATCTACAGTCTGACCAATGGCCATCTTCTTTCTTAAAAGAAAGTACAGGTAATAGCATTTGTCTTACTGAATTGAGTGATTGTGGCTTCTAATTTAAACCTCTTTCCAGGACCCTGGGGAGTTGACAACACTCTAGGTCTAAGGTGGGGCCTGGGAATTGTTAGTTTTTCAAACTCAGGTACTTGGTGATTCTGATACGCAGTGAAATAGAGGATCCCTGAGTATACATCATGAGATGATATTATAAGGCATTCAATCTTTGCATGGATTTAAATACCTATGAAAGCATTAACAAGTTCTATTTGCTTAACCATGATTGAAAACCAGAGTGCCAGGCATTAATTTAGAAGCTGTGAATACAATAGTTGGCAAAATAGGCAAAGTTTCTACACCTTATAAAGTTCACACTGTAGTGTAAGCATCCTTATGCTGGTGAGCTGTTATTCACTAGGGTGACAATAAATAATGATAATGTACTATAAATTTCAAAAAGCTAAAAGAAAGGAATTTGAATGTTTTCACCATAAATAAATAATGTTTGAGGAGATATGTTTTACATGATTTAAACATTATACGATATATACATGTACCCAAACATCACATGAAACCTCATAAATACGTGCAATTTTGTCAGTTCAAAATAAATTTTAAAAAATAAGTAACAGTAAAAAACCAGAAACGTGCAAGATCATTTCAGGGTTTGATAGGTGCTACATTTAAATAAACAGTACCTGGGAGAGGATTATTTTAGATCTAGAGAACAGGAAACTTCCCCATAATAACTGAATTGAATGAGACAGTGCCTGTGACATCATAGGATGTCTTTAGTTCCTTATTATGACCTTCCTGATGACATCAGTGTGGTGAGCTGGTGCACATACTGGTGTACATACTGGTGTATACTGGAAGATCAAGGTGGTTGTGAGCCAATGGAGACTATGAATGAAACAGAAGCAGGTTAGATGGACAGCTTGAATAACACCATTGTCATTCTCCTGGAAGGGTTTCATATCCCTTTTCAGGGTAACGCTCTTGGCTTAGAGTCAGGAGTTTCATTTTACTTCATTTGGTCTGTTTTTCTAACCTATCTTTTCTGGAGCTCTCCTGGATTTCCTCCTTTTCTTCTAAAAAATTGTGTTTATACAACTTTTTAGAGTAGCTCATGGCTACACTCCCATCAAAAAGGCCCTTTCCCAAGGTGTCCCAGGCACTCAAAATCTTACAAGAAAGGGGTGGGTGTAACACAAATCAGTCTGAAACTGAAAGACTCCATAAAGCCAAAGGAGTCAGGCTCACTGGTTTTCAAGGAGATATTTTAGGAAACACGTGATAAACATTTTTTAAAATGAATACTAGTATATTTATTTTAATATTTTTTGATGTACATTAGAAAGAAATATAAGACAGTTAAGAACATAGACTCTGGAGCCAAACTGACTCCCAGAAGAATAATTTATTTCACTCCTCTGACCCCAGTTTTTTCATCAATAAACAGGAACAAAAATTGTAGTACCTCACTGGGATTTTATATATATATATATATATATAAAATTTTTCAGTTATAGGTGGACACAATATCTTTATTTTTATGTGGTGCTGAGGATCAAACCCAGTGCCTCATGAATGCCAGGCAAGTGCTCTACCCCTGAGCCACACCACCAGCCCTCACTGGGATTTTGATAGATTAATATCTGTAGTGTTCAGAGGCTAGATTGTTGGTCATTATGACGGTTTTTGTTTGGTGATTATGTTAATTTAGTATATCAGTTTTATGGATGCTAATAGGGTCTGGCAAAATTTAACTTCTAAACTTTTCATTGTTTATTGCTTAAATTATGTATATTCTGTTTTAGGTGAAGGGGGCAAAGACACAATTATTGCAAAGCAGGAGAAAACTAATGAACATTGTGTTCAGAGTATTGATAAGTTGTCAGAATCAACGGATGCTGATGGTGAGGATGATACCAGTGATGAAGATGATGAAGACAGTAACCCTAAAAAGGATACTCGTGCCCCATTAGAATTGATGGCAGAAGTAAGTTTTACTTGTGCATTACAATTTAAGAAACTTAAAAATGCTGAAATAACTAATGATTTTATTACTAAGTAAATTAAGCAAATTAGTAACGTATTCATCAAGTTAAATTTTTAAAAATCAATAAAAAAGATCCTTGCCCAGATATAAACGCTTACCTGGCTACTCATCTCTCTTCATTGCGTTAGAAGTAAAAGAAGGTTCTGAAAGTGACATACAGTATTCTAGTGAGGCAGAGGCAGGAGTAAGAGAAGTCTTGGTGCCCTGTAAGGACTGCTGGGAGGAATGTGTTCTACATACTGGGTACCATGCTAGTTGCTGGGCATATAGAAATAAATAAGAGAGAGACATTCTGTCCTTGAAAACAGGCACATTTAGAAATAGTTACAACACATTGAAACATATACTAATGAAAGTGCTTAATAAGTTCCCTGGGAACAGGAAGACTTAAGTGACTGAGAAAAGAAGCAGGAAGAACAGGGATAAGAGAAGGATTTTTAAGAGGAAGAGACATGAGTGGAATCTTAGAAACTTGAAGGAAGAGGAGAATATAGAAATTCAACTCATAAACAAGATTTCAAAAATATGAACAACAGCTGCATATTACACTGATCACATTCTCTAACCATGATCAATGAAACTAGGCATTATAAGCAAAAATAATTAAAATCACTTAAAAGATATTCTTCAAAATGACACTTGAAGTAAAATGAGAAATCAAAATTAAACTTAATAATTTGGAAAATAGTGATAACCACAACATTACAAATTACTATTTGAAAAAGAGCTTAAGGTTTTAAATGCTTTAATGATGGTGATGATGATGATTAAACTAATAACAACAATAAAGGAACTAAATATCAATGCCAAAAACTAGAAAAATAGAAAACATAATAAAACATGAAATGAAAGAAAAATAATAATAATACAAAGTAAAAATGAAATTAATATATCAAGAGCTAGGTATTTGAAAAAAAATAACGTACAGATAAACTGATAAATATCATAACTACAATGGAATAAAATCACAAATAGGAATGAAAATAAAAATATCTTAGACAAGAATAGAATTTAAAATGTAAGAATTCCATTGCATGAATCAATATAGTTTTCATTAATATGCAAATAAATGAGATTTTTGGTGAAATTAGTGAATAATAGAAAAACTCTAGAATTGTTCTACTTATATCAGAAACATATTTTTTAAAAACTTCAAGGGAGAAACTGAAAAAAGTAATAGAGAACTTCTTCTTAAAATGGTACCTGGGTATTCATCACATATCTGGAAATGCATGAGAAGTTTTTCTTAGTACTCAGTGTCCCTGTCTCTTGCTGAGTAAAATTCATGTACCTGCGTGTGGTCCAGATGTACCACACTCAAGCAGGAACAAAAAGTGTTAAGTTTTGTGTGTGTGTGTGTGTGTGTGTGTTTTTAACTGGTAGCAGAGTAAAAAGTTAATGACAGCTGGGTATGGTGGCCACGCCTGTAATCCCAGCAGCTTAGGGAGGCTGAGGCAAGAGGATTTCCAGTTCAAAGCCAGCCTCAGCAATTTAGCAAGGTGCTAAGCAACTCAAGGAGACCCTGTCTCTAAATAAAATACAAAAAAAAAGTGAGGTGGGGTGCTGGAGATGTGGCTCAGTGGTTAAGTGCCCCAGAGTTCAATTCCCAGTACCAAAAAAAAAAAAAGTTAATGACAGGGGCCAAAGTTGTGGCTCAGTGGTAAAGCACTTGCCTAGCATGCATGAGGCACTGGGTTCAATCCTCAGCACTACATATAAGTAAAAACAAATAAAATGAAAGTATTATGTACATCTACAACTAAAATAAAAGTTAATGACAAAAAATTCATCTAGTAAATTGTAGCCTAAATAAGTAAAAAAATATGTAATATTTAATGCTAGACTGGGTGTGTAGTTCAGTGGTAGAATACATACTAAGCATGATAAGCATGAAAGAGACCCTGGGTTCAGTCTCCAGTATTCCCCTCCCTACCAAAATAAGAATATTAATGCCACGGGGAAAAATAATCACAATCAAATAGTTTATTTATTAAATAACTACTGAATAATCCTAATATTTATAAATATATATGTGTTTATTTATGAGCAAAACTAAAAGGATATACATGAAGATGTTAAACATCTCTAGATGGTAGAAATATAGGTTCTTCTTAATGAAGAACATAATGTGTTAATTTAGCTTTTAAATTCCCTACATTACAAATGTGTATTACTTTAACAAGAAAAATAGTATAAGCAAAACTAGATAATATAGAAGCAGTGCTGGAAAATATTGAATGTACATAATTGTTAAGTCCATAATTATTCTTTTCAACTAAGAACTGTTATGTCGTTATGAACTACATTCACACATGAAATCTATATCTAAACTAAAGGAATAATCAGATAAAGTGATTGAAGTATTTACTATCTGTGCCAGTCAAGTCAACCTATGTTTCTTAAATGATTCGGCAGTATGCACACAATGTGGCTGCAACAAAGCAGAGGTGGCACACTTATTCCAAGTTGACCTGCCACCCAAGAGACTTACATATCCTCGATTAATTAATTGATTATAGACTCACTCCTAGAAAAGTGTATGTGTTAAAAGCAAAACAACTAACCATTAATGGAGTATTTTCTAGGGAATTTATAATTGACAATTAAATTCTCTCTGAATCTACTTATGTCCAACGAATTTAATGTTTTCCAGTTCCTGAGAGCAGAAATGGGCCGAGACTATCATCTCGCAAAAAAATTATGTCAGATGAGTAAGTAAAAAATGCTTTCACATTTTCCAATATTCCTTTTGTTTCTAAAAATAAATTCTATCATATGTAAGATGGTTCCATTATCCTAAGTCTAATTCCCTGCTAGTGTCTCAGTGGCTCCTTTATAGTGAATGGTTAATTAATATAAGGATTAATTTAGATTTCTAGAGTAACTTTTAGCCACATAAACTAATGTAGACTAATGTAGACTAATTATCACCACTGGAAAATAAATCAGAATCCTTACCATCATGATAAGGGAATAGTACCTTTATGCTTTTTGTTTCAAAGAAAAGCCAGGTGCTATAGCTGTCGAGCTAGTCTATCTGAACATGCATTATTCTACCAATGTTGGAGAGCCTGGGTGTGCCAGGCACCATTCTAGACACTGGAAATAGAGCAGCCAACATGATGGAATAACAGTCCCACATTTATGCCTACTGTCAGATAATAAACTAAATTGTGTATCATAAATGCTAGATGCTTTGGAGAAAGACTAAGTCGGAAAGAGGAACTAGAAGGCACTGGGAGAAAACAAGGTAGTTTTCAGTAGGCTGGAAGGCCTCCCTGAAAGACTCGAAGTGGAGGAAAGAAGTGTGCTAGGCATGTCAAACAGCACGTGTGCTGGCAGCAGCAAGAAGTCCTGTGTACCTGCAGCAGAAGAGCAAGGAAGTGTGGCAGGTGCGGAGGTCAGAGAGATCAGAGAGGTTTGGCACAGGCTATGCACACTGCATGGGACCATTTGTCAATTCAGAGACCTTGGCTTGTCGCTGAGTGAGATGGGAAAGCACTGGAGGCTTTTGATTCCAGGGGAATGATCTGTCTTCTCTCTCTCTGGTTTTTAGTGGTTTGACTTGTTGAAGATAGTTGTGGTTCTGGGCTGGGGTGGTAGCTCAGTGGTAGAATGCCTGCTTCACACCTGTGAGGCATTAGGTTTGATCCTTAGCACCACATAAAAATAAATAGATATTGTGTCCATCTACAACTTAAAAAAAATTTTTAAAGGTATTTATGGTTTTCTTGGTACTTATCCTATTGGGAAGGTTTGCTGAGTTTTTAAATCTGTGGGTTGTTGTTTTCATCAACATTGAAAGGTTCTTGGCCGTTACCTTTCCTCATACCACTTCCACCCTATTCTTTCTTTCTCTTCTCTTCCTGGGATTCCAGGAATTCAACTTTTTTTTTTTCATGAAATCCCACATGTATCTTTTACTTAGTTCTGTTTTGTTTTTATTTCTCCATATTTCTATTCTTCAGTTTGTGTATTTTCTTTCTTTGTGTGTGTGTGTGTGTGTGTGTGTGTAAACACAATACCTTTATTTAGTATTTTTTTATGTGGTTCTGGGGATCGAACCCAGTGCCTCACGCATGGTAGGCAAGCACTCTACCACTGACCCATAACCCCAGCCCAGTTTGTATATTTTCTATTGACCTTTTTTGGGGTTTATTTATCCTGTCTTATGCTGTGTCCAGTCTGCTATTAAAACTATCCGGTGGGCTAGGGATGTAACTCAAGCGGTAGCGCGCTGGCCTGTCATGCATGCGTCCCGGGTTCGATCCTCAGCACTACAGACAAAGATGTTGTGTCCGCCGAAAACTAAAAAATAAATATTAAAAAATTCTCTCTCTCTCTCTCTCTCTCTCTCTCTCTCTCTCTCTCTCTCTCTCTCTCTTTAAAAAAAAAACTATCCGGTGAGTTCTTAATGTCAAAGACTGTATTTTCCAACTTTTAAATGCCCATTTAATGATTGGAAAGATTTCAGCTCTATACTAACATACACCATCTTTCCAACTATTTTGTCCATATTTCCTCAAATATTTTAGTCAGAGTTATTTTATAATATATATATAAACCTATTGATAATAGGACCATTAACTAGCAGTTGACTTAAATTAAGTCTATAATAAATCCCTTGAAGTGAAAATGTAGTGCAGGGATTGTGAAGGGTCTACCCTCACTTGCCTGTGTCCCCACTATGAACACAGAAGTAGATTGGCTAGTTTTAAAAATGGGTTTCTTGAATCCTTTAGCACTACCTATTTCATATCAGAAGTAAACAGCTCGTCCTGTTTAATCCTATAGAGTATTTTTAATCTATTTAATAAAATACTTTGGTCAAAGCTATTTTTAGAGTCCCACAAACAGAATTTTCCAATCAGAAGGAATCTTCAGAGAAGATAATGTCCAGTGACTTTCTGTGGAAGAAGCTGAAGCAGAGAGGGGTAAACAACTGGCTTGGCACTACTCACAATGACAGTGACACGGTCAGAATGGAAACGCAAGCCTGCTTTTCCTACACCTTTCTTTTCTCCAGTGGCTTATGTAAAACAAGGAACTCTGTTCCACTCATTCTCCATTCTGTGAATTTTTTCTGGAAACTAATTGTGGAAAATTTTATGTATTTTTTATTTCTCTATCCATCAATCATTTTAGAAAGCTTCTGGCTAAAGCTTATAAAATATATGTACTGTCAGTCTGTTTTGGCTATGAGCCCTGCAGAATGCTACATAAACAGCAGGTGCTCAATAATATACTTGTCAGCCTGACTCAAACCAGTGATTGTACAATAAATACCAGGTCAATGGGGTTGAAACACTTCAAATTTATCTATGTTCATGGATATATCCCTTTAAAAATATCCTTCCTCCCTTTCTCCTACTCTTTCTTCTTTCTTTCCTTCTCTCCTTCCAACAAGTACATATTGAGCACCTTCCTCTGACCCAGACATGCTGGGAGACGGAGAGAAAGCAGGAGCCAAGGCACACATGCTCTCAATCCTCTGGGGAGTCACTTTAAAGTTAACATGTCTACAGGCTCACACATTCACACTGTCCCCTCTTATAGGTCAGTGTCAAATAGTGGTGCCTCTAAAACTGAGGATTAGACTACAAGAAGAGTGGCTAAGGTCACCATCAGACACCAGGATCTGGGGTGCCTGTAAGAACGCTGCTTCTAGGAGGAAGAAGGGCTGACTGGAAACATGGGCAAAGAGGCCCAGAAGTAGGGATGCATGGGTTCCCTCGAAGAACAGGATTGCCTTCTTCTGAGGCAGATTCCCAGCTGAGGGTGTGAAGTTAGGGAGGCCCAGAGTCTGCAGTGCCAAGCCAGGTCAAGGGAAGAACCGAGTTCTCAGGGAGAAAAAGCACTAGTTCTTTGCTGCTATTAGGAACATGTGATTGGAGGCTGTTCCATAACTTTCTCTGTATTTATGGCTGCAGACAAAATGAATTGTTCTTATCTAGCATGGACCCCACATACTTTATATATAAATGCTTATAGTATAGATATTCTTGTCTGTCCCTTTTATCATATTCTAGCTTCCCTACAAAATACCTGCTTTGTGCTTGTGCTCTCCCTCTCTTCTCTCCCTCTCTCTCTGTCTCTCTCTATGTATATATAGATAGATAAAGATAGATAGATAGATAGAATTTATATGTGGGCATTTTTATTTTTTATTTTTAAAATATTTTTAATTGTAGATGGACACAATACCTTTAATTTATTTACTTACTTATTTATATGTGGTGCTGAGGATCAAACCCAGTGCCTCGTATGTGCTAGGCAAGTGCTCTACCACTGAGCTACAACCCCAGCCCTGTATTTTTATTTTTAAATGTATAACTTCTGACATCTGTAAGTGTAGTTATATATTTACATATTTATGCATATATGTGTTGAATACCTACTATAGGAACATTCTTGAAGAAACAGTGCTTAATACTCAAAACAGTTTTGTGAGAATCATTAACTCTACAGAGGAGGAAACTGAAGCAAAGCAAGACCTAATTCATACAAGGTCAAATGGCTCCTAAGTAGTAGGATCATATTCCAAGTCTAACTTGAAAGTCTGTCATTTCCATACTCCATTTCAATTTCCTCATTTGGTTAATAAGCTTATTTTTCTGGTAAAGGAAGCAAAGGCTTGGAAAATAAATATTTTCATGGATCTGTCAGGCTAGAAATGGGTCCCATGATTGATGAATATATATTTTTCTTTGTTTATATCAAGGACAATTAATTTATATAAAATAATGCATCCTTATCCCTTCAAAAGTGTACACACTCATTTTCTTGAAAAAAGCCCCTGGTTCCTGGGGTGGTGCCTTGAAGTCCAATTGCAAGCTAGTCTTATATGATTTTGTCTGACTATAGGGCATCCCACCCAGCATCTAGGCACCCACAGCTTCTTTTCTCTTTTCCTGCCTTTTTAAAAATCTGCGTTGGGTTCTTCCAAAACATTGTATCTATCGACATAGGCTTGAATTTCTTCTGTCTTCCACCCAGTTTTTATATAGTCGTAATCGTTCCTCAATCATTTTCCTGCTGTCTCATGCAGAACTTATATTTCTGCTCCATTTCCTGTCAGGCAGCAGGGGCAACCTGGAAAAAAATGGTTTTTAAATGGGACTGGAAGTCAAGGGTCCAAAGTACTTTTCTTCATTCATTTCGTTCATGACTGAGGTTTTTGTGCCAATCAATCTCCCTATTTCTTGGTCACTTCACCTGTAAGTGAGAAAATTGCAGCTCAGTCTTCTCAGGGCACATCAGTTCTGCTCACAAGTAGCTAGAGATTCTACACACAAAAAACAGGGAAGTGTGCTACAAGATCTATATCATGAGTTATAACCATTGTAAATAGTAACGAACAATGGCTTGAAACCCAAACAGTTCTCATTATTGTAGCTCTATTTTGAATATAGATGTATCTTCAGAAAAGATGGTTCCTAAAAAACTGTTTCTTTTCAAGTAAAATAAATGATCCCTTTCTATTAGCCTACAGTATCACCTTATCTTGGGGTTAAAAAAAAAGCCTGCTTTGTTCTCATTTGTCTATATTCACTTATTCCCCTTTCTAATGTTTTGAAGGCTCCTGCTGCACATAGCAAGCACTCTGCTGGGCATGCAACAGTAAACAAGACAAGTGTTTTCTGCCCTGAAATAGCTCCAATCTGTTCAGCCCCATAGCATTAGAAGCCCCACTTCCCCACATGAGTCCTGTAGTCAGAAGAAGCACCCTGTTTCTGAGGCAGAAGAAAAGAAACCAAACAATCCTCTAGTCCAAGAACCATTCCAGGAAAACTAATAATAACCAATATTTATTCAGCACTTACCGTGCACCAAGGACTGGACTGAGTACTTAATATTATCTGATTGATTCATCCAAATAGCCCAATATGACAAATATTATTACAGAAAAGGAAATTGAAGTACAACCATATTAAATATGGTAGCAGGACCAGAATTCATATCGGGCAGTTTTTCTGCAGGATCCTTAGTGGGCAATGCTTCCATTATGGAGCCCAAGTTGGAAAACAACCCCTGGACAGAAATTGCATGTGCTAGATGCTTATCTCAAATCTTTACACACCCGTCTAGGCTGTGATATCAGAATTTTTGATTTGTCACCTAGAATAGTTATTGCTGGGCCAAGTTTCAAACCAGATACCTTTCCCTCACTTTCTGAAAATTGATAAATGCTAGCTAAACTTACACTCCAATCCCTGAAATGAATCCAATTCCAACATTAATTTTCTAAATTAGTTCCAAGTGATAGCTTAGGGTTTATTAGTAAGTGTTCCACAAAAATGATTCCATTGTCAAATAAATTTGGATAAATCACATTTGCCTCTCTATAAGATTCATAGCAGTTTTGAACATCTGACTGGTTCTGTAAATTCCTGTGATTACTCCTTAGAGTAAGTTTTTCCCGATTAACTTTCTTTAACTTAGTATCCCAAATATGTATTAAGAATCTAGTATCCAAAGAAGCAAGTTGGAGAAATCCTGCTCTAGAAAGAGGCTTAGCCTCAGAGAAAAATTTAGACTAGTGATAAGTATATTTAATTTCAAGTTAAATGTATAATAAAGGTACCTTATTAGAAAGCTTATTTGTATGTATAATAATGCATAAAATACCTGGGATCCTTAAAGGCAGTTTTTGAGCAAGCATACAGTTATGTATGTTATGTTAGTGGATTTGGAAATAAAGTCACTGGTTTGACATGTCAAGATGAAAGCCATGAGTCAATGGAGCCTTGAACCTTCCACAGTTCTCTTTCTTTTAGCCAGAAGAATAGCACACTTGATGTTTCAGTGCCCCCTGGGGGCCACCAAGATATTGCACAAGGAGTCATCAATGGATGATACAGAAAGAAATAATGAATACTCCTCTAGGCATGTAGGAATAAGGAAGAGAGATTGAGCTGTAGAGAGATTTGAAAACCAGACTCTAGAAAATTCTGGAAAGAAGTCTGGTATCTAACACATAGATAATATACCAACAAGCCTTAAAAAGTCTGATATGGTCCAAAGGAAGGACAACAGTCACCTAAGGCAAAGGGAATAAATGGGGCTCAATGAAGAGGGGAGAGTATTGTTAAGCAGGCGATGACTGGTGAGTAGACTAAAGTTCTCAGAATGAAGGGAAAAAAGCAACGTCAGTTTTCCCTATGCAAAAGATGTTATTTAAAAGTGGCACCTCTACAGAAGAGGTCGCACAAAGAAAACTCCTTTCCTTTGTGTTACACGAGATCTTCAGCAAAGGATGTCATGCAGATATACTAATGGATGAGATGAGGGATTACAGACATATAGGCACACTGTCTTTTCATTATCAAACTCTCCACATTTGCAGGATTTGTACACTCTTTGGAGAATGATTCTATTCATGAAACACTTTGGCTACTGGCCTATTAGGGAAGCCATATTGAGGTGATTGAGATTGTATTATTTGGATAGGAGGTAGAAAAATATAATAAGGATAATTTCTCCAATAAAGCACCAAATATAAGTGGAGCATTTTCTCTATTTGTACCTGGATCTATCTGTGGTATAATTGTTGATGTTTATTGCTTTGTGCATTTCTACCTGCTCTGACTGACAGTTTCAATCTCATTCTAAGGATCCTGTTTGTTGAAACACTGTGAACCTTAATAACACACATTCTGTTGTCCATTTTCAGTCATAATCTATGAACCAGAAAATCCTGAGGCCAAGGAGTTTTTATCACTTATTGAAGAAATGTTGCTGATGGGTAATTTTAAAAATTGAAATTCCTTTTTTTTTCTCAAAGAACTATGGGCAGTCTTTAAAACCCCATTATCTCAGGAAATTGTCAAAAATGCATCATCAGAAGTGGTTAAGAAATATCTGACTGGCTGAATCAAATGGTTTAGTAAAATCAGCTTGTCCTCTGTGGATAGAAAAGAGGACCCCTTTCTCACTGTGGGGTGGAACTGCCAAGGCTCCCTGGCTGTGAGGCATTGGGTATAGGAAAGAGAACATGCTAACCACCTTCATGTGTTGAAGGGATGTACCATGATTTCCAGGAAAGCCAGTAGTCTCTTAATTACCCTAAGTCTCGGTCACCCTGATTCTATTTAAGAATTTCTTTGACAATAATACAAATGATTTCATAGACCTATATTTTAACTTTAAACCTACAAACATCTTCATGCCAGTAATAATATATTTCTCACTTGTTCTACTACTTTGATCCTACGTATCCTACGTTAGTGAAGTTCAGCTTGATTCTTCTGTTCAGAAATACATATTTCTTGGTAGAGGGGAGGGGTAAGGAGCATTATGGTTTGTGTGTTGGTTTGTTTGTTTGACTGACAATATCAAGAAACATTTGAAGCACTTGTCTTCCTTTCTATGGCAGAGAAAGCTCAGAATCTCAAGGAAGATGAGGAAGACAGCGAAGAGGACAGCAGTGGTGAGAGTGAGGGAGAAGGCAGCGAGGACTTAAGTGACGAGAGTTCTGATGAGTGTGAAGATGGATCATGAAGGTCACTGGGTGGCTTCAGCTTCGTGTATTTTCATTATTGTATACCATGCACATATAAAGAGGGAGAGCTGCATTTTTGTCTATTGGTTCTTTCTTTGGTACAGAGAGTTCTTTTCAGTTATCCATAATCTTAGTTGGAGCTCCTTCCTAATATTTAAGCCTTTAGTCAATACGAATTAGAAAATAGTATGTGCCAGGTACTGTGTGCTCTACACACATTATTATTTAATTGAACAACTCCATGAACTTGACCCATTCTACAGATGAGAAAACTGAGATGAAGAGAGTTGTAAGTAGCTCACCTAGCCTCTTGTGCACCTATTAATTTGTACAGCCTAGATGTAGATGTGGACATTATGACTCCAGAAGCTATATTTTCAGTCCCCCATGAAGGACCACCACATCAGGCACATTTATGTCATTTGTTTGGTTCTTTATGGCATATATCAACATCTGAAACACTTCATTTTTTGTTCTTCTTATCCTCTCCCTAACTGACATACAATGCAACGTCCATGAAGCAAGACTTTTTCTTTTTCACTATTGTATTCCTAGAAACTGGATAAATGTCTGGCAAATAATAAGCTGGGTATACACCAAGTGAATAAATGAAGTTAAAGTTAAATGTTTACATTCTTTCATGAACCATTTACAAGGTTTTCCACTTCTTATGTGTCAATTTACATCATTTTACTGATTCTGTAATCCTTAATGGATCCCTGTGACTTTCAAATTTGGTTGTAAGGTAACAGAGGTAAAAGTAAGAAGAATGTTCCTAAGTAATTTGTTTATGATTTGCCAATCTTATTTGAAGGTAAACATCTTGGCTCTTTATTTTTATTTAGTACTGTGCCATGATATTTGCAGCTTAGTTTATTCTTTAGGCATCTTGTGGCTTCGATTATTCAGAGGGAGAAACTGAGCTACATCAATGTATAGAATAACTGAAAGAAATGATGATAGGAAGCCTTCCTTAATTTACAATAAATTGTCAGGCTCTGGTACATCAATAACCAAATAGTAACAGAGTTCTACCTGACACACATCTCAGAAATGACCTATTTTCACTTCAGTTTGCATTGAACACTCCTCCTCACCATAGGAAAATCACCAGCTGTTAATCTGATGATGCTAACTTGATTATGGAGCCAGCCCTGCCCCATCAGAAGTTCACAAAATACTCAAATTGATGCTGAAAACTAAATGTGTTAAAATGCGATTTTTAGTTTTAAAGGAATGAAGTAATTCTAAGGAAGAAACTATTAATAAAAAGCCATAATATCACAGACCACGTTACAACTAAATCTAAGAATTTATAAGACTTGCTCATCCAGTATGTCTCTCCCTCTTATTCATCCAACTTTCACTTTTTAATCAATGAAAATTGGGGCATTGGCTTAGCCTAACCATACGTCTGTGTGTAGTAATAATAGCTAAAATGTAATCTACAAAGTATTTTTAAAGTATTTAGCCCTTTATCTTCTCACAATAGTCTTACGCGCATGTTATCCTCTTTGATCATACAAATTGAATTTGGGGTGATTAAAAACATATAAAGTTATATGTTAGCTAAATTATGGAAAGTCAGGTAAGGAAATAGAAACTTAGAGATACCAAGTTACGTCCTGATTTTAGAGATCTAGTGAATCTTGAATCTGTTGTTTCATGCTGCCTCACACATAGTTAATTCTAGAGACTAAGTCAACCAACAAGTTGTATCTATATAGATAATTCAGACCCAAACCCTTGCTTTCTTCCACAATGTAAAACACATTACATTTATGGTAAAGAACCCAAATATCACTGGGTGCAGTGGTGCATGCTTATAATCCCAGCAACTCCAGAGGCTGAGGCCAGCCTGGGCAACTTACTGAGATTCTGTCTCAAAATAAAAAAATAAAAAGAACTTGGGATCTGGTCAGTGGTTAAAGCACCCCTGGGTTCATTCCCCATTACCAAATATGTATATCCAACAATAAGAGAATATGTAAGAATGCCTACTCAATAGACCTGATAGGAGTCCATTGAAAAAGTTTCATTTGTTTATTCAATAGTTACTGATGGTCTAGTAGGTTTATTATGGGCTGCTGGTGGGGGTCCAGTCTCTGTTTTTAACCAGCACTGTTGCAATGCAGGGTGTTACACACTGCCTGAGGAAGTCCAGGGTACTAAGGGAACACTCAAGAGGGACACCTAAGCCAGGCTAAGCATCAAGGGAAAACCTTCAAGAGGAAAAATGAAATCTAAGCTAAAAAGATAGAATGCATAGGAATTAGCTACAAGAAAAAGGTGTGTGGAAGACAGTGGTGGTGGGGTAACACAACTTGCAAAAGCCCAGAGATACATTGCATCCAGAAAATAAGGTCAGATTGTAAAATGAACAGAACCATGCATGCGGCCGGGGTTCGATCCTCAGCACCACATACAAACAAAGATGTTGTGTCCACCAAAAACTAAAAAATAAATATTAAAAAAATAAATAAATAAAATGAACAGAACCAATGAGAGGTGAGAAAAAAGAGGAAGTTCCAGGTATAAAAGGGCTGGGTAATGTGGGGTCTTTAGAAGTCAAGGTAAAGTTTGAAATCTATCTTTAGAGTAGTGAAAGGTATTTGAAAGAAAATTATTGTACTTTAAAAAGATCCATCTGGTAGTCAGGAAGAAAAATATTTTATCAAACTATAAATCATAATCCATTGGTAAATTGTGAAATCAATATAGTGAGTCACAAGTAGCTGAGATTTTAAAAAATTAAATACATGAAATAGAAAATAGTATATTCTACAAAAAAGCATAAGAAGTCTTAATTTGCTGGGCACGGTGATGCACACCAGTAATCCCAGCAGCTTGGGAGGCTGAAGCAGGAGGATATCAAATTCAAAGCCAGCCACAATAAGTTAGCAAGGCCCTAAGCAACTGAGACGCTGTCTCAAAAAAAGTAAAAGGACTGGGGATATGGCCCAGTGGTTAAGCATCCCTGCATTCACTCCCTGGTACCACAAATTAAAAAGAAAGAAACAGTCTTGTTTTGCAAAGCTTTTGTTTCAGAGGTGTATGTGTGCATCCTATATCTTGATGTAAAATGTATTTCTTCCTATGGGTCTCAATAAAAAATAAAAGAGCGGTATGAATAGCAAAGACTAAAGTAGGATACAAAACTCCATTGTTAACTGTTCAAAATTGCCACCTGGAAAAAGACAAAGTAGAGATGAAGTGGACTAGAGGAGTTACCTTTACAAGTAGAAAGAATTGACAAGAAAGGGTGATGGATTTAATGTGAAGGAGAGGTAAACATCAAGGATGAGTCCCAGTTGGATCACTAGGTATATGGTAATGCTAATTCCAAAAATACTAACACAGAATGAAAAGTAGTTTTGCTGACAAGACAAAGATTCACTTGCATCAGTTGAGTATGGGAAGTATATTTGTTTCCTCTGACTGGCAGAATAAGTTACCACAAATTTAGGGGCTTAAAACACAAACTTCTTACCTTACAGTTCTGGAGGTCATAAGTCCAAAACAGGTCTCTCTGGCCAACATCAGGGTATCAGCAAGGCCACAGTCCTTCCAGAGGTTCTAGGAGATAATCTGTTTCCTTGCTTTTTCTAGCTCCTAGAGTCCTCCCATATTCCTTGACTCATAACCACATTTCTCCACCTTCAAAGACAGCAATGTCTAGCCATGACTCACAGGCTACCATCTATTTCTCCCAGCTTCTCCTGCCACTTTTAAAGATTCTTGTGATTACACTGGACGCATGTGAATTCCCCACAATAACCTCCCTATTTTAAAGTCAGCTGATTAGCAATTTTAATTTCATTGGCAAATTAATCCCCCTTTGCTCTTTAACAGTCACAGGTTCTGGGAATTAAATTGCTGATAACTTGGGGGTGGAGGGGTATATTATTCTGCCTCCTATAGGAAGTAATGGATACATGTTATCTCAGGTTTTGGAGTTCGTGGTGTGGAACTTAGAAAAGACACTTGGGCTAGAAATATACCATTATTAGAAGGCATCAAATCAGAGAAAGTCATCAAAGAAACTGTGGATGCCCCATGGAGATAGAGTATTCTGAATAGAAGAGGATCTATTGGGATAGAGTCGTAATGATCACCAATACTGAAGTAGTAGTCTAAGTGCACAGAGGAGACTGAGGAATCACCAGGAGGAAAATCAGAAAAGGAAATATGAAGGATACCATTGGTTGTCTACTTAGCATCCGTTCCTTTCTGTTGCTTTGTAAAGAGAGCCCTGGATCTGTTCACGTAGTCACTGCCCCCATCACCACCCCGCTCCACACACATACACACAGCCATGAAGCTCCAGAAAGCTGACTCCATCTTCAGCCAATCCGTGCATGGCACTTCCCTGGTGACTCTGACTTACTCTCATGATTAGAAGAGATGTTCCTCCATTACTCTGGGTAGGAACTAAGAAGGATGCTGCCCTGTCACTGCTGGCTGCTTATGATCATGAGAACTAATCTAGCTGGGCACAGTGGTACACAACTGTAATCCCAGTGGCTTGGGAAGCTAAAGCAGGAGGATAGCAAGTTCAAAGCCAGCCTCGGCAACTTAGGGAAGGCCTAAGAAACTTAGCGAGGCCCTAAGCAACTTAGAGGAACCATGTCTCAAAATTTTTAAAAATTTTAAAAAGGGCTCAGTCGTTAAGCACACCTGGCTTCAATCCCTGGTACAAAAACAAACAAAAACTTAGAATGAAGCAGATGCTGAAGATAAAAGAACAAGAACAAAAAGAACCTAGGTCCCTGATCCTCAGCACCACATAAAAAATAATAATAATAATAACATTTAGCTGCTGCACCAACTCCCCGGGAGCCAGCCCCTTGTTTGAGCTTACTGTTGAGATACACTTATTGTTGAAGCCAGTTTGGGTCAAAGTTTCTTTTACTTGCTCACAACTCATCGTAGCTGATATAGGTGTCACCACAGGAACCCAGAAAAGAGTTTCAAGGAAGATGGAAAGATCCATTTTGCCAAAAGGTTGTAGAGATGACAGATAAGAACTATAAAAGGTGACTGGATCACAACAAAGAGGTGGATGGTGGTATT